CATAAGCTTTCGTGGACTGCAGCCCACTTCTTTGGGCATCCGAAGAAGTGGGCTGCAGTCCACGAAAGCTTATGCTCTAATAAATTTGTTAGTCTCTACGGTGCCACAAGTACTCCTGTTCTTTTTGCGGATACAGACTAACACGGCTGCTATCTGAAACCTAGATTTTTTAGAATCCCTCCCATACTTCATCCCTGCATAGTCCTACCGGGTAGTAAAGGAATTCCTCCCAGATAGTTTGGTTTAAATGTACTTATAGTTTTTCCTCCACTTAATAATACACTGACCTAGATTCTGAGCTCAGGAAGAGTTATTCTGGGTTTACATCCGCAGAATGGAGGTGAGTCTGTCCAATTATCTTTCTAAACCTCAGTAACAGAGTACAGAATCTTCAGTTGTGTTTTGTTTTGATTTTTTGTTTCGTTTGTTTTTAATGAAACCTTTGCAGGGAAAGTTGGAGACCTTCTGCCCTACCAAACAGAAGAGCTGAAGATGCGAGAGAAGAGAATACTGAAGGACAAAATGAGAGAGGGAGAAAGAAGAGGTAAGAAGACAGGTGAGCAGCAGAGTTGGGCAGCACAGAAGAAAAAAGGGAAGATGTGCCCTTTCCCTTGCATCATTTCCTCCTTTTTCTTTTTGGAAAAAACAAACAAACAAGTGTTAAATCTTTTATCAGGACATTAGAAGATGCAGGGGAAAGGGTGAGATTGCACTTCAAAGCATCAAAGTCCTACAGCCTCTGCATGCCCATAGTATGTGATTGCCCCAAACCTACACCAGGTATTTGATTTCCCAGGACACTTCATTATATATCAGGCATAGTGAAAGATGACAAAGAGATTAAGGGTATGTAACATGAGATGACAAAGGGAACTTTTATTAGCTCGTCTAGGGAAACTGCTGAGGCATCACTAGACAGAGGTTCTGAAGAATAGATAAAAGGTAACTCCGTAAGGGAACAGTCCTGCACTTAATACTAGAGGTTGCACTAGATGGTCCAAGTAGGGTCTGTCCAACCCTACCGTGTACAATCTAATTAAGGTAAGTCCTCTGTCCTACTTGTCTGCCTTTCCATAGTCTGTGAGGTAGGACATCCAGTCCAGATGACCCCAGAGCAGTGGAGTACACAGAGGTTCCTAGACAGGCAAGTCTTGGTGTGAACCAATTCACTATGTGATAGCAGTGAGAGGAATAACTATAGCAGTATAGTTATGCAGGCATGGGTGTGCACCCACATTTTACAGATTTAACTCCTATCAAAAAAGAGGAAAGTCACTTCCAAAGCAGCTTAATTATCAGATAAACTGAAAAAAGGCAATGTATGTGTGGCTGTAAGGCAGCTTCTGCTCAAAAAAGTACATTTATACTGGTACAACTGTCTCATGTAGACAAGGCCCTAATTATCTTTTCCTGGAAGCTCTAGCATCCTCAAGAGCAGCATGAATACTTTACTTCAAGTGCTTTTTCCAGCACAGACAAAAAGCCCTCACCAAGCTGTAAATATCATAGCTGGCAAATTAAATACCATGTTTAGCAAGAGCTCCTTGTTATGCCAGTGCAAAGAAATCTCTGCAAAATAAGAGAGTAAATTGTGATGCTCTAATGAATATTGTTACTTTACCCAAAATCATTTGCATTAGGCTGGAATAATCCAGATGTGTTTGAAGATTTGCTTAAGCTGGTTCTTTTGTAAATTGAATTAGTTCATGTTGTTGGCACTTGCTGAGTTAGGGGGGAGGGATAACTCAGTGGTTTGAGCATTGGCCTGCTAAACCCAGGGTTGTGAGTTCAATCCTTGAGGGGGCCACTTGGGGATCTGGGGCAAAATCAGTACTTGGTCCTGCTAGTGAGGGCAGGGGGCTGGACTCGATGACCTTTCAAGGTCCCTTCCAGTTCTAGGAGATGGGATATCTCCATTAACAGAACATCCACTGATTAGTGCGAAGAAGTCAGCCCAATCATCTGTTTGAGAAGTCGTGCCATTTAGATGCTGGTGTATGACTTTTGTTGGATTAAATACCTGTACTCAGAAAGTACTGCCCTATGACCTCTTTTGGGTGCTCGACTTGAGACTGCTTTTCAGAAAGTGCTAAGCACCTACTCCCTGAACAGCAGGACCTTTTATATTTGGTAAAAAGGTCACAGTGTACCCTGTGGTAAATTAAGAGCAGTAACGGAAAATACCTAAATGCTAGTGTTGTATCAGAGTTACCCCAGAGTTAATTCAGACAACGTGCCCTTCAGAGTTTAATTCCAGGTTTCTACACAAGCTTGCCAAGGAGACATCACTTCCAGATTATATGATGATCATTGGCTGAATCCAAATAAAAGAAAAAGACTGCTTTCCACTGACCCCAAACCTCAGCTTTGTAGGATGTAAACCTGAGACCTCTACATTTCTTTTCTTGCTCTTGACTGGGGCAGGATCAGGTCTTTTACAGTGTGTGACTGTAAGGTGTTAAATCCAAGCAGAAGAGAATGAGCCAAAATCTGCAATCTGTGCAACACAATTGAAGACAGACTTGCTCAGTGCTGCTGCTTTAACAGAGCACAGAGAAGGCTGGCCCGTGGTAAAGGTGCTAGCCTATGACTCAGGAGACATGTGTTCAGTTTCCTACTCTACCCTAGACTTCCTGTGTGACCTTGGATGAGTCATTTAGTCCTTCTGTGGCTCAGTTCTCCATCTGCAAAAGGGGGTTAAAAATACTTCTCTACCTCACCAGGGTGTTGTGAGAATAAACATGCTA